TGGAAAGTGATCAGGAACAGTCAGCATGGATCCACCAAGGGCAAGTTATACCTGACTAACCTAATTGCTTTCTATGAGGAGATAGGTATATTTATTTATCTCATAGAGCTAGAAGGGACCCTGAAAGGTCATCAAGTCCAGCCCCCTGCCTTCACTAGCAGAACCAAGTACTGATTTTGCCCCAGATCCCTAAGTGGCCCCCTCAAGGATTGAGCTCACAACCCTGGGTTTAGCAGGCAAATGCTCTAGCCATTGAGCTATCCGTCTGTGGGTCTGTGGATGAGGGGAAAGCAGTGGATGTGTTATTCCTTGACTTTAGCAAAGCTTTTGATACCGTCTCCCACAGTATTCTTGCCACCAAGTTAAAGAAGTATGGGATGGATGAATGGACTATAAAGTGGATAGAAAGCTGGCTAGATCGTCGGGCTCAATGGGTAGTGATCAACGGCTCCATGTCTAGCTGGCAGCCGATATCAAGCAGAGTGCCCCAAGGGTCTGTCCTGGGCCAGTTTTGTTCAATATCTTCATTAATGATCTGGAGGATGGCGTGGACTGCACTCTCAGCAAATTTGCAGATGACACTAAACTGGGAGGAGTGGTAGATACGCTGGAGGGTAGGGATAGGATACAGAGGGACCTAGACAAATTAGAGGATTGGGCCAAAAGAAACCTGATGAGGTTCAACAAGGACAAGTGCAGAATCCTGCACTTAGGATGGAAGAATCCCATGCACTGTTACAGACCAGGGACCGAATGGCTAGGAAGCAGTTCTGCAGAAAAGGACCTAGGGGTTACAGTGGATGAGAAGCTGGATATGAGTCAACAGCGTGCCCTTGTTTCCAAGAAGGCTAACAGCATTTTGGGCTGTATAAGTAGGGGCATTGCCAGCAGATTGAGGGATGTGATCGTTCCCCTCTATTCGACATTGGTGAGGCCTCATCTGGAGTACTGTGTCCAGTTTTGGGCCCCACACTACGAGAAGGATGTGGAAAAATTGGAAAGAGTCCAGCGGAGCACAACAAAAATGATTAGGGGGCTGGAGCACATGATTTATGAGGAGAGGCTGAGGGAAC